TTTATCAGGTTTGTTTTGTTTTGTTTTTGCTGGAATCTGTCATCAGCAAACAGGGATGATGCAACTTCTCCCTTTCTAACGTGGATGCCTTTTTCTCTTGGCAAACTGCTCTGGTGGGGACTTCCAGAAGAATGCTGAACACCAGTGGCAAGTGTAGGCATCAGTCTTGTGCCAGGCCTTAGAGGACAGGACCTGAGCTGCCACCAGTGAGTATCCTGTTGGCTGGGGACCTCTCATATAGGGTCTTGTTGTAGGGTCTTCAACACTCATTTGATTAGTGGTTTTTTTTAAATGGTGAAAGGATGTAGAATTTTGTCAAATGTCTTTTCTCCAACTGTGATGATTATATAGTTTTTGTCCTTTTATATATAAATGTGATACATTATTATTGATACATATTTTCTATATTAATCACTTTCCCATGGCTGGGATAAAATGCCTGGCACCCACAGCTTAAAGGAGGAGGGGTTTATTTGGCTCACAGTTTCAGTAGGTTCAGTCCATGGTTGGCTGGCTCCACGGCAGAAACAGCATGGTGGAAGAGCAAGAGCCTGGTGGAGGAAAGCTGCTTGCCTCATGGAAGTCAGAAAGCACAGAGAGCAGGGAGGAGTCAGGGATGAGAATGCACCCTTCCACGTCATACCCCCAGTGACCTGCCCCTTCTGATTAGGCCCTACCTCCAAACTTGAGACTTTTGAGGGGAATTTTCATTTTTTTTACTAGTATATGTTTACAGTACTTATGTTTACACTCCTTGTGTGGAGCTAGCACATGTACATAAGATATCTTAACTCCTTTTTTCATCTCCATTCCCCCCTCCTTCTATTTCTTGATCCCCTTTCCATTTGAGAAAGATCCACCTACTTCCTATTATCTATCTTTTATTTTGCTCTTTATTGAGGGGGTCTCATATAAGAGAAACTGCAATATTTAAGCTTGCATGCCTATTTATTTCACTAAATATTGTGGTGTGAAGGTGCAGCCATTTTCTTACAAATCACTCAAATTTATTTTTTATGGCAGAGTAGTGCTCCATTATATACAAATACCACCATTTTCTTTATCCATTCATCTGCTGATGGACAAAAAGGCTGCTTCCAAGATTTAGCTATTATAAACTGTGCTGCTATAAACATGAGTGTGCATACATAACTGTAATATAATGACTTTAACTCTTTCAGGAAGATATCTAGAAGGGGAATAGTTGAGGAGAGTGGAATTTCTAGTGTTAGTTTTTTGAGGAATCTCCATACCAATTTCCATAGTAGTTTGTACTAGTTTGCATTCCCACCAACAATGTAGAAGAGTTCCTTTTTCTCTGCAGCCTCACTAGGATTTGTTATTATTTGATTTCTTGATTACAGCCATTCTTTCTGGGGTAAAAGGGAATGTCAGTGTTATTTTAATTTGCATTTCTCTAATGCTCAGAGATACTGAGCATTTCTTCATGTATTTATTGGCTATTTGTATTTCTGTGAAAGGTCAATTCATTTCAGTTGTCCATGAGGGAACTATTTTTTTTTAGTTCTCTGAGGAATAGCTGGCAAAAACTTTGTCATTTCACTCGGTTGTTTAATTCCTTTGCTGTGCAGAAGCTTTTTAATTTAATATGATCCCATTTGTTGATTCTCAGTACTATTTTCTGTACAATGGCATTCTGTTCAGAAAGTCCTTGTCTTGCCTATGCCTATGACTTCTCAAGTTTTACTTATCTTCTAGCAAGCCAAGTGTTTCTGTTTTCACATTTCCTTCTTTCATTCATTTTGATTTTAGTTTAGTGCATGGGAGAGATATGGGTCTAGATTCAATCTTCTGCATGTGGATACCAGTTTTCTCAACACCATTTATTTAAGGGTCTCTCATTCCTCCCAGTGTATGTTTTTGGCCCCTGCATCAAAGTTCAAATAGTTTAATGTGCTTGGCGTTATTTCTGCATTCTCTATTCTGTGCCGTTGATCCTTTTGTGCCAGCACCATGCTGTTTTTATCAGTATAGATTTGTAATATAACTTCAAGTCTGGGATTGCCATGCCTCCAGTTTTTCTCTGATTACCCAGGATTGCTTAGGCTAATCTGAGTCTCTTCTGGTTCCATATGAATTTTAGAATTATTTTCTCCAGTTCTGTCCAGAATGCTGTTGATACTTCGACTGAGGTTGCAACAAATCTGTGTATCAATTTTGAAAGTATGGCCATTTTGACTATATTGGTTCTGCCTATCCAGGAACAGGCAATATCTTTACAGTTTCTTATATTCTCTTTGGTTTTCTTTTTCAGAGTATGGTAGTTTTTGTTGTAGAGGTCTTTCACTTAGGTTAGATTAATTCCTAAGTATTTAATTTTTCTTGGTGCTACCGTGAATGGCATTTTTTTTCCTAATTTCTTTCTCAGAGGGTTCATTATCTGTGTACAGGAATGCTATTGATTTTTGTGTGTTGATTTGTACCTTCCTACATTACTGAATTTGGTTATTAATTCTGAGTCTTTTGGGCCGGGGATTTAGCTCAGTGGTTCCTGTGCCTGCCTTGCAAGCAAAAGGTCCTGAGTTAGATCCCCGGTACCAAAAAAACAAAAACTAAAAAATTCTGAGTCTTTTGGTGAATTTTTTGGGTCTTCTATGTAGAGAATCATGTCATTTGTAAATAATGATAATTTTATTTCTTCATTTCCTATACATATTCCTTTTATTTCTTTTTCATGGCTAATTGTTCTTGCTAATATTTCAAGTACTATGTTGAACAAGAGTGGTGATAATGGACATCCTTGTCTTGTTCTTCATTTTAGTGGGAAAGCTTTCAGTTTTTCCTCATTTACTATGATGCTGGCAGTAAGTTTGTCACAAATGACTCTTACCAGATTGAGAAAAGGTCCTTCTAGGCCCTCCCCCATTTTTTGGTGTTATCATGAGAGGATGTTGGATTTTGCCAAATGATTTTTCTGTGTCTCTTGAGATTATGATGTGATTTTTGTCCTTGCTTCTGTTTATGTGATGCATTATATTTGTCGATTTGAATATGTTGAAACATCCTTGCATCCCAGGGATGAAGCCTACTTGGTCACGGTGTATGATCTTTTTGATGATTCACCGCATTCTTTTCACCACTATCTTGTTGAGGATTTTTGTTACCTGTATTCATTAAAAAGACTGATCAAGGCCTGGGGATGTAGCTCAGTGGCACTGTGCCTGCCTGGCAAGCACAAGGTCCTGAGTTCGATTTTTCCAGTACTGGAAAAAAAAAGATTGGTTGATAGTTCTTTTTCAATTGGATTCTTGGCTGGCTTTGGAATCAGGGTAATGATAGCTCCCAGGAATGGCTTCAGTCTTCTTCCCTTTTCATTTCAATATTGGTGTTAGATCTTCCCTGAAGTTTCTGTAGAATTCAACAATGCATAAATATGAACCTGGGCTTTTCTTAGTTGGTAGGTTTTTAAATTACTGCTTCAATTTCATTTATTGTTACTGGATAATTTGGGGGTTTTAAATTTTCTTGGTTCAAGTTTGGTAATTCGTATGCATCTAGGAATCTATCCATTTCTTCTGAATTCTCCAATTTATTGGCATAGAAGTTTGTGAAGCAGTTGTCAATAATCTGTGTGTGTGTGTGTGTGTGTGTGTGTGTGTGTGTGTGTGTGTGTCTGTGTCTGTGTCTGTGTCTGTGTCTGTGTGGTACTGGGGATCAAACTCAGGGCCTTGTACCTGCCAGGCAGATGCAGTCAATAATCTTTTTGTGATTTCTTCTTTTTATTTCTAATTGCATTGATTTCAGTCTTTTCTCCCCCTTTTTGGGGAGGATTAGATTGGCTAAGAGCTTGCCTATTTCCAGTTCACTGATTCTTTGTTTTTGTTTTTTTCTCAAGTTCATCGATTTCTGCTCTGATCCTTCTGTATCATTTTCTACCTTGTACTAGTTTTGGGTTTGGATTGTCCTTGCTTTTCTAGAACCATGAGTTGCATCATTAGGTTATTTGGGCTTGCTCTCTTTTTGTGATGTGGGCATTCATAGCTATAAATTTCCCTTTAGGACTGCTTTCACTGTGCCCTATAAGTTCTGGTATGTTGTACTAGCATTTTTATTTAGTTCTTTAACTGTGCTATTTCTTCCTTGATTTTTTCAGTAAACCATTGTTTAGTTGGGTGACGCCTAACTCTGTGGACAGCCACTGTAAGCTTATCTTGTAAATCCTTATGGGTGAAGTACCCATCTTTGGGCCCCTGCACAGACAGTGAGGACCTCAAGCTGGGCTCAAGCAGCAGACCATGATGGCAAGTGACAGCCTAGTCTCACCACTGGTGGCTACAGGGAGGGACTGGCAATCGCCACCCTCCAAACCCCAGTAGGCATCAGTGGGGTCAGCACACACTGCTCTCCCCAGCTCAGCTCCCCACATGGGGAGCCCCATGGGGCATGGGGGCAAGAGGGGTGAGCGGGTTCCACCTGTGGGGTCAGCAGCCTACCCACTGGGGCAGAATCACACCAGGCTGCCGTGGGAAGGTCCCAAGTGTGGGGGTGCAGGCATGGGGCAACAGAGAGGTGTGGGTGCTGCCAAAGCTCCCTGAGAGCCTGGGACTGGGCAGGGCTGCTTCAGTGATGCAGGGTGGGTGGGGGACTGTCAGACTACGTGTTGGGGGTACCTGGGGATACAGATGGGGTGAGCAGGTCCTGAGCCCTGGGGCCTCCCCAGCACAGGCCTTTTATGAAGCAGATGCTGAGAGATGTGGTGAGATGGGGAGGCCCCCTGTTCAAAGGATGGCAGAGGGAGACCAAGGGGCTGGCGGGCCCCTAATGCTCACTGAGCAAGCTCCTGACTCCAGCAGTGCAGAGTCTGGGCTTTGGGGGATCGAGTCCTGCCTCACCGCTGAGGAAGTGGCTTTCCATGCCACCTGCACAAATGCACTTCCCCATTTCCCCACTTCCCCAGGTCCCAGGGTGTCACCAGGACCACAGTCAGCAGCTGGTACAGGGTTGGTGGGCACTACATCCTCAAATCTCAGGCCAAGGCATGGGCTGTGTCGATGCATCTTTATTTCATCTTTCCACACATTACATTCCAGACACACACCCCAGTCACCCATTCATATCGCCAGTGTCCCTTATACCCAATCTGGCATTTGCACATGTGAAATACACACCAGGCTTAATTTAAGCTCATGAGGCCTTCCCCATTGAAAAATAAACTACCACTAGGAGCAGGCCTGCTGTATCTCCAACCTCCGGCAGTGCAGAGATGTGCAAGTCCAAGCAGAGCAGTTTCCAGGGTTGATCCTGGGAAGGAGATGGGGCTTCCACACAGAGCCATGGAGCAGCTTCCTTATACCTGGAGTTGCTCTGGAAGGAACCCTGAATGGGGTGGGGTGTGATCTCCTGGAGCATAGGACATTTGCACAGAAAGCTGTGCCAATTCCCTGCCATGTGTAATGACCAGGGACCACTTTAATAGAAGCAAGAACACACGCATTGCACACATCTCTCCCCAGCCTCTGGGTAGTCTCCTGGTGCCTGGGCAGGGGCAGAGCTGCTCCTCAAGGAGGGAAAGAGTCTCACAGCAGTCACAGCAGGCTGCTGAGGACAGGAGGCTGCCTGATCCAGGGTCACAGAGCCTGGGTCTGACAGCTCCCACATGGCCCAGCAGTACCTGTGTCACTAAGGTTCACACAGACATGACACCCTGGGAGGATGTGGGTGGGGGAGGCTGGACAGGACATCCATCTGTGCAGAGCTCAGGGGACCTGGCACCAGGGGAAGTGGCAGAAAGAGTTGGACTGGGGTACGCTGTGTGTCCACGCCCTATCCCCGGCCTGCTAAGAACAGCACTGACCCTCAATGGGTTATGTGACTGGGACCACTAAGGACAGGGAGTGGCCGGGGAGCTCCCTTTTAAAGGAGCAGAAATAGAAGGTAAGGCAACTGTGAGTGGCCTCTCTCAGCCACCGGCCTCCTGTCCCCAGCTTCCCAGATCTGCCCGATGTCAGCTTCCAGCTGAGTTCCAGCCAAGAAAGAAATCAGCTCTGCATGCAGAGCCATGGCCCAGACACTGCTGGCTACCAGAGGCGCCGCGCAGAGACCCCGCTACTGCACCACATCCCCCAACATTTAGTCAGCTCTTTATTCTTTCACCCAACAGAGGAGTCTTTGCTTTTCAGAGTAGGTCTGCGGTGGCCACTGTCATTCTGCCTGGCACCTGGACAGCAGGCCACTGGGGGAGGAACTGCCTCTTGGCTGCCTTAGGCCAGGGGTCCAGGGTGGGCATTTGGCAAGGACACTCCAGGGACAGGGCAGGGGGCTTCAGACTCATATATGGCCCCCAAAACCGAGATCCGCTCCTGGCTCTCTTTGGTATCTCAGAAAACTGAGGCCCCCCATTCCCACCAGCCCTGGACCACGTTGGGCCTGCCCTGACAAGTAGCTGCAGGGTGGGGCAGCCGGAAGGCGGTGCGTGGCTGGGACCAGCTCAGAGGGGCCTGCAGCTGGCCAGTGGGGAGGGCACCCCCCCAACAGTGAGGCCCCAGCTCACTTCTTGTAGTGATTGGGGGCATCTGCAAAGGCAAACTTGAGGCGATAGGCCTCAGCCAGCAGCAGGCTGATGTCCTCGTCACCCCAGCAGGCGGTGGGTAGGTTCTGGAGGAAGAGGAGCAGCTCCTGGAGAGAGAAACAGCAGTCAGGGAGGCCAGCAGGGCAGCGGGCTGCATGCATGTGCAGGGCTGCAGGGCAGCATGGAACTAGCACCCCACAGCTGGAACCTGCTCCCCTAAATCTGAGCCACACTCTAGGGAGGCAGACATCAGTGCCTTCTGTGGCTAGATGGGGCACCCAGGCCTGGGGCAGTGGAGGCACTGGGGCTGGACTCTCCTGCCCAAGCCTCTCAGATCAGGGAGTAGGGAGCGACCCTCACCTGCCCCAAAGCACCCCAGGGACATAATTCCCTGCATGAGGCAATTCCCTCCAGCCCAGCACAGCCAGAAGCTGAGGCACAGCACACAGGGACCTCAGGACAGAGCCAGCTTGGGTCTACCTGGGGTATCCAGGAGCACAATAAAGCTCCTGGCACAGCTGCCCCGTGTGCTGGGCACTGAGAAACCCAGCTTCATGTCAAGGTCCAGCCGAATGCCCGGGGACAATGATGTCACCTCTGAGCCCAGCCACCTCCTCTGTAAATGGGGACAGCATGACCACTCTGTCACAGAAACCAGGCAAGAGGGACATATGCATCAGACCATACAGCTCATGCAGCTCTGAGAAGGCACAGAGTGGGCACTTGCTGGATATACTGGGCACACACTGGGTGCCATGATATGTTGGACATACACTAGATGCACACTGGACTGTGAGTGTGCACTGGACTGTGCCTGGCACTGCCACTCACTCACTCGGGTCTCCTGGCTTCCAGGGAAGAGCTCTGCCTTGGGGCTCCCCTGCCCCTCCCAGCACCCCAGGCCTGCAGCTGAGCCATCTCAGCAGGGGGCTGTGGAGGCACTGCATCACACCCCATCACTGCACACAGGGAATGCCTGCAGCACTCAGATTTAGAAGCCAGGGCCCAACAATGGTAGGATGGTGACCTGCTAATGTGATGTGGCACTGCTGGGAGGGACCCACAGTGGGGAGACACAGACAGCCCCACACCCACTGTGGCTGCCCACCTCACCCAGGACAGGTGGATATCGGGAGATCATGACACCCAGAGGAGGTGGGAAGGAGTGGGGCTGGTCATGACAGCCGGCTGCATGGACAGGACAGCTTCCTAGATGGGGTCTCAGAAGAAGAACGGGCCTGGGCTATGGTTAGGGCTGGCCCAATGCCAGGCCCGACTTGTGAAGCCAGGCAAACTCCCTGGTGAGGAGCTAACACTGCTCTGCTGGCCCTGCAGGACACTCGTCCCAGAGATTCTGCCCTGTACCACCTGTAGGCTGCCCATGCCTCCTCCCTCCAGCTGGTACGAGTGATGCCCCTCCTCAGCTCCCAGCAGGTGACAAGTGAGAGGAGCTGCTGGCTCAGGCTGCCTGCCTTGAAAAGGTGCTGCCCAGTAAGACTCCAGCCATGTAGCTCCCGGCTTTCTGTTCCCTGGTCTGGCACAAATGGCCATAGAGTGGCCTGTGCTGTGGGGAGCTAGCTCTGCAGGGCACATCCTGCTCTCTCTCCGTGGCCCTGGTCAACTGGCAAAGGCTCTTTGACCCTTTGTCCACTGTCCCCATGCACTGGGGATGCACTCCCTCGTCATGGGTGGAACAGAGATGGCACTGAGGCATCAGGACACGACCTCAGATGATGGCTGAGCAGAGTTTCCACCTCAACACCACACCCACCGGACTGACAGAGGACCCTGGGCCTCCCAGAGCTGCAGCTTCCAAGTGCAAGTTACATGCTAGGACTCTGCAACCATCAGATTTGCCATTGCTGGGCTCCCCCGCCCCTTCCTCAATTCCATTTCCTTTGCATTTTGGACACTTTCTGTGGGCCTTTAAATTGAATTCACGGAGCAAATTCTGCTGGCAATATGTCCTCAGGGACACATCAACATCAATCTGCTGTCTTTCACCATTAGATGCAACTTACACGGATGCCAATCCAATTCTGAGCAGGTCATAAATAAATACCTTTGGTTTTATTTTTAATCCACTTCGCTTCATATTATCATGACCTCGCTCCTCGCAAGGTGAGAAGCAATACCCTCCCATTAGGGTAACTCCACTACTCCACTGCACACTCAATTTCAGAATCTAATTTAGTCCCTTAGGTTCACTGGATGGAGGGAGAATAGAAATGCCCAGTTCTTCATGGCCTGCAATGCTAAAGAAGGAAAAATCTATCTGGGTGACCTTTACAGCAGGCAAAGAACACAGACAAACATGCCCTTAAATACGGATTTCTTTTTTAAAAAGGCTTGTCTTATTTACGCGCTGGGCACGGTGTCTCCTCTCTGGGAAACAGCACATTTATTAGCCCTGAGCTCTCTGAATTATCCGCCTCGCACAGGCAGCAGCCATAACTCACAAAGCCCCCGCGCACTGCCATCACAGGGCTGTGGCTGCCTGGGACAACCGTGCACTGCGTGACAGTGTGCATGGGGCTGAGACGAACGGAGCCTCTAGGGAGCCTGCCTGGGAAACTGGACGTCACCGGCACTTCGGTGATGACTTCTCCACAGCCAGTGCTCTGCCCACCTTGGTGGTGGGGCGCGCCGGGGTGTCCGACATGAAAGGAGATTGGTGTTAGCACCCCGGCCACCCCGGCCACCCCGGCCACCCCGGGAAGCAGGCTGCACGGCGCTCTCCTTTCTACCAGCAGCCCCTGCTGTGGGACTGTGTGAGGACAGGGCGGCTGCCTAGCCAAGTGGAGCCCAGAGCCACACACCTCTCGTGGGCACAAGGGGCTCGAAGCCCCAGGGTGAGTGGCCACGGGGTAATGTCCCAGAGCTCTCTCCTGGGCAGTGCCACAGGGTCCGTGTTGACAGACATTGTCCTGCTGCTCCATCCCACCCTGGGAGGCTCCGAGGAGGCTCTAAGGGGTGAGACTCAAACGTTAAAGAGCAAATAATGTTTATAGTTCTAGCTGCTTCCTGCCAAAAGGGTTTTATGTTTCCAGTTAAACTAGTCATAGAGCCATCTGCACCGTGTGACAACCCCTCTGTGCCTTCCCTGGCCCTTGCCCTTGGACCCCAGGAAGGCAGTCACGGGGGGCCCTGGCCCCTCTCAGGCCAGAGTTCTGCCTGTTTGGCCATCATGCAGCCCTGAGCATGGGCAGAGTGAGGTGGGCGGGAAGACCCTGGGATGCAGCACCAGAGGCCTGAGCACAAGCCCTGTCCCACACCCAGGCCCCACAACCAGACACGTCCTCTGCGTCCTCCCCCGAGTCCCACAGTCTGCCCCCTCTGCTACATCGGCAGGGCCCTATATCTCAACGTCCCCCCAAGCTGGGCATGTGGCCCTCAGCAGTGGTCAATGCACACAGCAGACAAGTGAGTGGTCCCGAGGGACAGTGCGTGCTGAGCGACAATAGCTATGGGTTCCTGGGAAGTCTCATCCCAAAGGGATGGGGCAAGAACTGGGCCCTCCCCGCATGTGTTGGGCATGCTCAGAGTTCCAAGGGTACCATGTGAGTGTCCCGGTCGCCACTACTGCTCACCTGTCACATGTGGTGGCACTAGCTCTCACAGCAGCAGTGGCCACTGAGCAGCGTTTGTTGCTGAATCAGTTTGTTACTGAATAAATTTTCATCCATGGAAAATGTCAAGTCATTTACCAAACAGGTTTAATAAGAAATCAAACTCACTGAGCAGATCACTCAAAGCAGGAGGACAACGTCCTGTTTGCTGTGACACCTGGACACGGTGGGGACAGGGCGAATGTCCAAGGGAAGGGAACACCGCCATACCACACCTGGTCCCCCTCACAGGTGGCCACAAGACCCAGAGGAGGATGTCTTTGGACTCTGTGAACTGCAGCTGCAATTCCAGCCTTGGTTGCAAAATGAACTGAATTTAATTTAAAATATTCCTCAAGAATGGATTGGGCCGTGAACTGCTGAGTGCATAAAATGAAATCTGACCCATCACTCAGCGCAAGGCAAGGGTGTGGAGCTCAGGATCATTCTGTGGGAGCCCCAGACCCCAGCAGTGCTGTACACAGTGCTCACATGTGCAAGGCTTCCTGAGACTCCCCCCAGAGATGATGGACCTACAGTTGGCTGAAGAAATTTGGGTTCAATCCCCAGTAACCCCTCAAAGCCCCTTCCCCTCAGAAAGATGCAGAGACGAAAGAAAAGCTGAAGAAGAGCTGTTCTGAGGACAACCTGCCACAGTGACAAGACCCTCCGGAGCCCCAGTCAGGACACGGCCAGAAAGGAGAAGGAGCCAGTGTGGGGACACAGTCTACCTCTGGGGCGTGCCTGGACCTCACAGAGGGCACCAAGTGAAGGCCAGGATGGGCACGTCCCAGGCAGCACAGCACCTTCCTGACAGCTGGCAACTCTGACAGCTGCAGAGCCTTCTGGAGCGAGGCTGAACCACGCAGGTGGCCTACACAGCCAGCCACACCTGCCACCGGGGTGCCACATGGGTCCTGAGCACACAGAGCGACCTTGGCCCCCAGTGCAGGGGCTCTGCCCTGCCTGTAGACAGCAGCAGACCGGGAACATGAGCGTGTTATCTTTCTGTGTGGACACATACAGCCAGAGGCTAACTGGTACACCTGGGTGAGAGGCTACAGGGATGTCTCTCCTACTTGTCAGGGTGACCTGGCTGCTGGGTATAGAACAAACCCAGGGCCTTCACATTGAGCTACAACCCCAGCCCTTTTGAAGCTTTATTTTAAATTTTGATACATGGTTGCCCAGGCCAGGCTGCAACTTGTAATCCTCCTGATTCAGCCTCCCAGGGTGTGAGGACTATAGGTGTGCACCACTGTGCCAGGTTCACACTGGACCTTTCCTGTCCAGTTGGGGCAGCTCTGTGACAGCATCCCTGCCTGGCTGCAGGGGCTCTACCTTACAGGGACAGAGAGAAAGCCTGGCCGAGGGTCCTGTCTTCCAGCAAGTAAGCCTGGGCCCTCCACCCCTGACCTCCCCGTGGGCAGCACAGATCACCAGGTGTGGGTCACCTATTCAGTGGGTGACTCCTTGGGTACACCCAGGGCCCACGGGGC